CGTATATTATACCACAGGTACAAGAGAGCTATTCACCAAGCACGCTCACTGCAATGGAATCGTTTAATTATTCATTGCTAATTCGAATTCAAAATGTTGGAACTTTTAAGTAGGTACCTTCTTATATGTTTTAAACAAAATACAAAATAATATGATATGCACTGAAGTTGTACTTAATACATAACGGGGAATGGGACGTATGCACGTCACCTACATCAAAGTAAACCACTTTTCTAGCTATATGTTTAAGCGATCGAAGAGGCTTGTCAGGTATATATTTGTACGTTGGAGTCATGTTCAAATAAGACAATGTATAATTAAATATTGAGTTTTGTATGAAATAATTTCTAATGCGAGTATAGCGGATTTTATCTAGTTCTGTCCATAGCTTAGGCCCATGGAATAGACCGTATATAGCAGACCCGTGTGCTTTACTTTATAAAACGCTTGTGCAATTTCAAGAAACGGTCAGGTGCAGTACATTGTTTTTTTTTCGAGTTTAAGGGCAATCGTATCGATTAATCACTGTGGAGGTATTAGTAATGATTATATATCTAAATTCAAACTGTGAATTAGGAGGACGTTCTACCACAGTACCACGTGGCACGTGCTACCTACATGTGTTGTCTCCGTCTTGCAAATGTACAATATAGCGAAAACTGTTTTTCGCTCGACAACTTTACTACATTTGTATTTATATTGAAATTATCAAAATTCCACAACGAATATGTAAGAACTCTGTCTGTGACTTATAGTTTTTATTTTTTTTGATAACATAAATACGATTAAAGTTATCAGTTTGAGAACATTAAGGTATTTTCCATTTAATTATTAAAAAAAAATGGTTACTGTTATCAAAAAAATGCTACGTCACAGACAAAGTTCTTCGCCCTATGCGTTGTGCGTAATTTTGGTAATTCTACTATAAATAAAGAGGGAGTAAAGTTGTTACTCACAAAACAGTTTTTGGCTGTGTTGTACATTTGTAAGACGTAGACAACACATGCGGGTAAGGTAAGTAAAGTAGGTTGTGTGGTGACATAAATTCTTTTTTCCAAAGGAGTACCATTTTTTATACTGTACATAAGCAGATGTCTTTTTTTTTAAAGTTGCATTGTATATGAATCGAAAGTTTTGAGGAACTTTATGTATACAAAGGATAATTGTTATTTACAGTAAAAAAGGTGGTTCTCATTTGAAAAAAAAGAAATTCGTATATGGCCACTGGAAACTTTAAATGGTATAAGTACAAAATAGATGGAATTCAAAATTGTAAATTTGTAATTATTATTTTACCACGTGTTGATTCTAAAGATATCGTATACGGACGCACGTCTTAAATTTTAAAGCACAGATTACAATGTCAAATGTATTTGTAAATTGATGAAGAAAAACCAAACACTTAGGGTTTATATATTATTACGCAGATTCCTGGATTTTCCGCATGACATGCAATTTTGGATTTCACTCGTGTTTAAAAACGTAACTACATTTCAATTTCTAACACGTTAAAAACAAATGTTGGTAAGATACGCCTGTAGCGTTGCGTTTTACATACACACAAAGAGGTATTCTAATATAAAACTCACTGGATCAGAGACAAAACAAATCGACTCGAACAATCTGAACGTCCAAACAAAGATGTACGCAAAACCACGTTTTTGTGTGGGGACGAGTCGATTTTTCGTTGGTTCCGAGTGGGTGTTTAAGTCGTAAGCACTCTGGTGGCAAACGTGAAAGTCACGAGCTCAGACTTTAATCGAAGAATACAGCTGATTAAAGTGGCCCATTTTTTTTTGGCGACGGCCAAATAAATTGTGAACAACAAAAATTGATAGATAAACAGCCAGTAGGCAGTGCAGTTATTACTTATTGTGACTACATCAGTAGCTATAAATAATATAACTGGTAATTTTTACTATATGCGTACAATATTAATTGTACTAAGTAACAATTATTATCTAATGGAAATATTGGCTCAGATCTATTTTATCTACTTTAAATTATATCAATTAATAATTAGGCCACCGACTGTGGTTATGAGGTTATAACCCGCTCCACTGGCCAATAAATTGGCCCGAAAGGTTCAGCTGCACCAGCACTGCACGTCTGTATGCGAACTTCTATAATCAATAAGATATAGTTTCCTAGCTTTGCTATTGTAATCTATGTATTGTATATTATTTTAATTGTATTTTCTAAGCTAACACTATATTATGACAACATTTCAAAATGTCAGTGTTCATATTTTGAAATGTGTTAGGGTCATACTGCGGTAGTTCGAACGGTTTTATACGGTCTTTAGATTACCGAACAAACAGTTTATTTTTTAATCGACTGAGCTATGGGTACTATACGCGGTATCACCACCACGTTCACAGCGTAAGACCATTCAGACTCTACGGCAAAATTACCGCAGTCGTGTAGCAGTAACCTAAACTATAATTTAAAATCTATAAGATCTATAGGTTACCTATAAATTTCCAAATTTGAATGATTTGGTGTGGATATATTTTAGTCCGTACATGTTTTACTTTTTTCTTTAGATAGTTTGACCGATTACCGCTATCGGTATGCGTTACTATCAACCAATATTATCTCATTTCTGTCCGTTTTCGATACGCTCGTGCGCTCCCCGACACATGCATCTCAGCCTCTGTGCACCCCATTTTCGTATTACCATATTATTGTGTGTACAATAACAATATTATTATAATATGTTCTTATATTCGATTTCACGGACGATCACACGCGTTCCGTTCAATCTGTTGCGGAGCTTTCACTTTCCCACCACTTACAATATCCACCGTTTTCCCGGTCGTCGACTATCTCGGGGTTGGAAAATAATGATATCCGATAGTCTATCATTGTACTTCAATGTAGTTTTGTGAAGTAAAATGAAAACATACGAATTGGCTTATGAAATATTATACGTCTTATTTTGTATTTTTGTCGTTCGTCTTAACATAATAATATTCAACAAGCAATGTATCCGCATGCACGTATCACGTAGGTGCAGCATAATATAGCGATGCTATGGGTTCGTCGGACCAATAGATTTATGAGCGTGCATTGTCCATACTATTATACTGTACACGACGATCTACAAGGTAATTATCATTTGAATGTCAATTAATATATATTTTTAAAAATAAGTAGTTCATGCTTAATTTTATTCGTTTTCCACTTACTTTGACAACATTAATTTTCGGTTCAATTTGCTAATTGAAATCAAATCTAATAACCAACATTCATATACCAAGAAAACCCACGACGCAATAATCGTACAAACGAGTCACGATGTGACTTCGATAAAATTATACCTGGCAGCGGAAAAACTTGGGAAAATCTTACCGGTCCACTGTAAGTCCTCTAAGGGTCCCTAGAGTATAGGGACTAGACAAGCCACGGGAGCAACTGAGAGTGGCGCCGCTTCGACTTTCTATAGTCGACGTATCTGTTACCTATTGTTCATTTACATGGATTTTGTTTTGTCGTCAGCTCACCACCGCTACTAGTGGACTTTCATTGCTTTAAATCAGCGGTTCTCTAACTTTTAAAACCATGCGGTAACCCTTATGAAGAAGTTTCGTGGAACCCCACCCCAATGTCTGTAAAACGAAGATTTTATAGTAATATTATACTAGTAACTATTATTTAGGTGAACTTCTTTTCCAAGTATAATATAAAATAATTTTCTCAATATTTCCTTAGGTTCCGCGGAACACACTTTGGGAATCACTGCTTTAAATGATCGTAGTCAGAGTCATCGACCGCAAAGGATTTAATCGTACCTTTCGTAGCGGAAAAACTCGAAAACTCGAAAAGGCGAGAGCTCATCACTCTCGATGGTTGCTAAAAAAATTTATTATATAAAAACAACTCATCGAATACGCTTTGGATTCAAATGTTATATTATTATTATTATTATTCCCAATAACACTAATGTATCAATAAACAGTTTGGAACATTAAAAATAAAAAAAAAACAAACAAACGGAAATCCGAACAAATGAATTTCCAAACGGTGCCGACTAAAATCGGCGTACGTATAGTTTTTATGTATATTATAATCGTATTATACGTGTTTAACAATATAGTATACAATATAAAATATTATATTTATTACATATTATGGTTCATGGAGTCCCGCGACCGCCGCCTCAAAATATCACACACGTCATGTTCTACGCTTAATATCGTATAGTATCATATCATATTAAACTAACGGTCGGGCCAACCGTGCTGATAAGTAGTACATTATAATATTATTTTATCATAGGCTGAGAACCCGAAAAAAATATGATTCAGTAATCTTCAAAAAAATATTAGAATAACAAAAAGAATACTGTTACTGCCGTATAATTTTGAGTTGGTGGGTTTGGTCTTCTGTATAATAGTATACATACACCTAGGTAATCTAGATATCAAAGACGCTATAATTATAACAGTTTGGGCGGCAGGTAACTATCCGTCGGCCAAACTGTGCTGATATATGTATTATATCATAGGTAATTATCTCTACAAACCTAAAAAAACTCGATTCTGTAATTTTCAACCCTCGGATTAACAAATAACATATGGTTTCTGCACAATTTCCAGTTCGTTTGGCAAGTCTGCTGCCTATAGCATAGGTATAATCTTGGTTTCAGAAACGCGGTATAGGTTATAACGATTGTTGGGGGTCTGACACGACCTGCTACCATCACGCAGAGGCGGACGGAACATTATTTGTATACAATAATAATATAATTAATATCATAATAATAATAATATATCAATAATAATATAATGAGCGACGCGTCACGGCGAGTTTTACAAAACTTATTTTACGACAATTAATTGTAATAATAATAATAGGTAGATAATAATATATTGTTATAATATTATAATAATATAGTTACATTAACGTTTATATATATATATATATATATATATATATATATATATATAAATAATTATGTATAAAACGATAACTGTACACGCCGCCTCGGAGACCTATTAAACGATCAAATCTCCACTGGACCTGTGATGCTGGTTCTGGCGGCGGTGCTGCTGCAGCTGCGATTGTTGGTGGTCGAACGCCGCCCGTTTCTCGTCCTCGAACGTGACCATCTTGTCGCGGCACGTGGCCGGCTGACGGGGTGGCCGGGCGAGCGTGGCCGCGGCCGTCCGTAACGCGGACGGCGGCAGTGGTGGCGGGATCTTCTGCATCTCGATGGCCGAGCACAGGTCGTGCGCGCTGGCGCTGCGCGGTATGAAGTACTCGGACACGGTGCCGCCCGAATAGTGGGCCGCGGTCCGGTGATGGCCCATCATGGGCTGCTGCACGGAACACCGGCCGGCCGACTGCCGTTGGAACGGTGGCGGGGGCGCGGGGAGCGGCAGGCCACCTTCGTCGCCTCCGCCGCCACCGCAGCCCCCGTCGCAGGTACCGCCGTCGCAGTCGTCAAACGCGGGCGGCGGCAACAAGGGCAGTTTTGGGGGCGGGGGCAGTGGCGGCGACGGTGGCGGGGCAAACGGTTTCAGGTCGATCGCCGAGGCCGTCGCGTCCGGCGGCGGTGGCCCAAAGTCCCCGTGTCAGGAACCGGCGGCCACGCCGTTGTTTCGGTTGTGCGGGTGGGGCGGCTGCCGTCCACGGTTCTGCGAGTGGGGCGCTGCGGACGAAATGGCGCCACCACAGTCGTCGTCGTCGCAGCCACCGCCGCCGTCAACGGCACCGGCCACCGTGCACACGACCATGTTGATGTCCTTGTGCTGCAGTTGCTGCTGGTGCTGCTGCTGCGTCCACATCCACCACCAACAGCAGCACCACCGGCAGTTACGCGACATGGCAGCCAGTTCGTCCTGCAACAGCTGGAAACACATGGCCACTACGGCCATGCCGACCAGTATGTAACCGGACGACACGAACACGGATACATCCTTGGTGGACTCGACGCCGCCCGGCACCAGCTCGCCGAACCCGATGGTGCCCAGGCTGGTGAAACAGAAGTACGAGCCCTCCAGCAGCGTCCATCGCTCGAGCTTCTGGTAGATGAACGCGCCCAGCGCCACGTACGCGGCGACCACGGACAGCGACAGCAGCACGGGGACACGTTTCTGTCCGCCGCCACCCGACAGGCCTACGTTGGCCACGTCCGCATATGCGGCCGCCCCCGAGACGGTTTCGAACTCGTACGGGTGACGGTAATAGTCGCCGCCGCCCACGTGATTGCTGGACACCGTGTTGGGCGGCGCCCGCTTGCCGCCGCCCGGCCTGCCCCGTCCACCGCCGGCGCTTCCGTCGTCCCCGTCTTCCCGGTTTCCGGGCGAACACAGTCTCGAGTAGACTCGCCGGAAGTTCTTGGCCAGCGTCTCGCCCATCGTGGACAGGTACAGCAACATCAGAGGTATGCCGATCAGCGCGTACACGATCGTGATCACTCGGCCCCAAGGCGTCTGCGGAGTCACGCTGCCGTAACCTGAAAAACAAGCAGACGGTTGATGATCAGAAACGTATATTTACGGAGTGAGTTTGCCGATTGTTATGTAACCACATCGACACCGTCGGAAATTTATTAAAATCTCGTTGACAACATGGCATTTGCGTACAGATTTTTCGTCGTCGTAATATTAATATGGGTATGACGTGTATTATTTAGAACATTATATTATGTTACGATATCACGGTAAAAATGTACGGCTGATATTATACTCTATTATCATAATAATTCCAACAGCATATTTTATAGCCTATTATTGCAGCCTATAGGACAGCTAAAATGTTAGTATATAATACTGTATTATTATGATATTGTAGTTATAATGCAGTAGATAAATATTATGCAAACTATAATAGAATAGGTAGTGCCAACAATAACTTTTGAGTATAGTGAATACTAAACGTTTTAACTCGTCAATCTGACAATCTAACTTTTATAGTAGATTCTGTACCAGTGGCACCGAATTATGTTTTATTTTTTTGTGGCAAGTAACGTAAATCGAAAATAGTGAGGGCTTAGGTTCCCACATCCTCTTTCAAAATAACTATTTAAATTTTATATTATCAATATTTATGGTTAATATACATTTTATGGTATAGAAATCTTTTAATACACCATTTAGTTAGGAACACTTAATATTTAAAGGCCTTAGTAGAAACTATTACCTACATTTTTTGGTTGATCAATCTATATTTAATACCTATAGCTTCTATTATATTTTTAATCATGTCGTACGTACATTACCACAGCATCTGCACGTCATAATAATATACTAAATACTAATTTCATAATTATTTTGTTTTCGAAATGTTTTCCCAGCATCTCACCCACTCTCCGACTTTAACCGATGTTGTTTGGGCGGGCTTATCAGTCCCATAATAATATAAAATGTAGTACGCAGTTTGTATGGATTTGTATGCAAATTCTCCAAATTAATACGACCTCATCCTTCAAAGTCCAAATGTTGATTTACTCATTCAAGCAACATTTCCACAGCATCCCGCTCACAAATGAGGTTTATTGAGTTTGGGTGTTTTTTCAGTCTAACCATTTAGCGTTCAATTGTTGTACATTTTAAACCTTGTTTTCAAAAATTATGGTTTTCAAGTTCATGTGATTTTATAAAATTAAAAATCGTACACAATTGACATAAATCATATTTTAATGGTATTGCAAATAAAAACATAAAAACGGAATTGAACATAAATGCAATTCGTCAAAAGCAATTTTTTTCCGTAAGTATATACAGTTATGGATTGCCGAAAGGCCTTAATGACCATAACGAATTACGGTCTTCACTAGGGTTCGGTCGTATTAAAATGTCTTTAAACCCTTAAATTCGTTATACGGATTTGTGACTTCAATATGTAGTTTGTTAATTAAATTAAAGCCTCATATAAAAATTGTTAATTCGTTATATTATGTACATTATCATTTAGTATATACCAACCTATTAATATATTATTATAGATTCCGCGTAATCCGCACTACCAATGTGTTAGTAGTTATACACCAAAGTTTCTTGGTACTCACCTTACTATAATTATTATATCAAGTCTTAACGACTTACATAGCATAATAATAACACACTTTGGAAGCATATTACATTCATCATAGTCTCTGAAAGTCAGAACTGATATTGTACACTGTAATGCAGTCCATAACCATTTCAGTTAAGTATATTATGTACAGTGCAATAAAAAATCTGCAACATTCAGACTATATTACGAGCAGTCATCAGGAATTTTTTTTGTCTTTTCAATTATCTAAATCTAAAAATGATCTTGTGGTTAGGTTAGGTTAGGCCGTCATCCGTCATATTTAAATATATATATAGTATTATAAAGTACTTAAATTGCCGATCTACCCAACTACACTGTAGTTGTAGTCGTGTTGTCATTTACAAGAATAAATCGAGTGGCAAGATATTGTTAAGTGTACATGCGAGTGAATATTTTGTAATACATATAATCATATTCACATATTTTCACGAAGCACTCGTCAGCCGGTCGCCCTGATCGGAAATACATAAAGTGTCTCTTGTGGAGTTACCAATACTTTCTTTACATTTTATAAAATAAAATCGTACATTAGAGTTGTAAGTGGTTATCATCGTTTGACGAAAAAATTATCTCATAACGTTAAAATTGTTAAAGATTATATTATCAACTCTTTAATTGGCCACCATATTGCAAACGTACGCAAGACCTATATAAATAAAAATAAATGGTTATTGTTAACTGAAGTTGAGTATAATATACTTTGAACTTTGTTCCTTGAAAACCATAACAACTGAGAATTGAAATATTTTATTAAATCTCAACACTTCAGAGCCATAGAAATTAGTTAATTCGTAAAATTGTTCGTGGTTCATAAAACCGAGAGTGTATTAAAAATGTTGATTATGACATTATATAACTCCGCGGGAAATGTCAATAATCGAAAATTGGGCAAAGCATTTAAATTTTTTTTTTTGAAAACTTGGGTTATCTCGATCGTGGTGCGTTTTTAATCAATATATTTACGGTTTTTTTTTTTTAATTCATTACATATTTAGTTCAACGCCGAAGTAATTTAAGTACCCGAACCGCAGTGTCTATAACTACGTTAAGGGCACACACACGTGCGCAATCACATTTATAATATATAATATGTACTGTAATATACTACCCAATACTGGAAATCGTACCCTGACCGCCATTTTAATTTCGTTATCGGTATAGTTTCGTTCACGGTTTTTGTCACGATCGAAAATATATTATGCCAATATAATGTACAACTATATAGTACTTATATATTAATATATCTACGTATATATTATTATTATTTACATTGGACAACATCAATATCGCACTGTTCTGTGGGTCCGAATTATATTATTCTGGTCCCTGGTAGCGCGTGTTCGAGGTATATGGTTAATATAATATAATATTATGTATACTAAACACACGATCGTATCATAATAATTATTACATTTCAATACAACAATAACCAATATGATATAACGACAATAATAATACACTCTGACCCAATTTAAAGGTTGTAAAGCCGTGAGTCCTGTTTGCGGACATCGGGATATGATATGTTATAACTATAATAGATATATATATGTACGAATGTTTAGTGATTATTCGGTGGACGTATTAACTATTATTTACTGTGTTTAGAGCTGCGTGCGTAGATGACTGTGGCGTGTATACCGATATAATATATACATCGATGTTTTTCGCCAAAATTGTGGAATATTTCAATATACTATTGTAAGCGCATATTATTACACGTCATAATAATATAGTTTTACCATTTTCATGTTTAGACTTTTAGAGTTTAGAATTTTATATCATATAACCGCAAGGCTGGGAAAGTTAACGTTTTTTTTTTTTTTAACTCGTTAAGTTAAGTTATTTTAAAATAATTAAGTTAAAAGTTACTCGTATTTTTTTTTTCATTAACTCGTTAAGTTAAAAGTTAACTTTGAAAAAAAAGTAACTTAACTTAGTTTAAAGTTAAAATTTGCTAATTTGCAAATCCAGACACATATAATATTATGGTTTATTAGATAGTTTTTCTTAACGTCCAAGAAAATTACTGGGAAAATTTACAATGATACATCAAAGTAAAAACACATTCAAAAGTTTCCATTATTCTTCGGACGAAAATATTAACTTAATTTAGATATTTTTGAAATAAAATTAACTTGAAGTTAATACGTTAATCTTGAAAAAAGTAACTTATTAAGTTAAAAGTTAATTTGAAAAAAAAAGTAACAAGTTAATTAACTTAATTTTAATGTTTAACTCGTTAATGCCTTGCATATAAGTTCATTTACTATAGCCTTAAAAACACATTCAACCATTCAAATCCCCTAATTTCAAACCTCTCTTCCATTACACTTCCTGATAAACCATCATGCCGTCTTAAGCAAAATTGGACCAGAGACCTCCTCAATTTGTATTTCAGATAATTGTATAATATATTATATTCTTGTTTGTTATAATAAAAAAAGATCATAATTATTATATAGTAAGGTTTTATTTTAAACCTCAAAAAAAGTGCATTAGTTACCAAACAGAACATTTTATTTTGTTTCAATTGCTGCAGGAAATTAACTAAAACTAATTATAAACTAAAGAAATGGTTGAACATTAGCCTTGAATATATATATATAAACACCAACTTACCTATAATAGTAGTCACCATGGCAGGACATTTTAAAATAAGTCCAACAACATTAAGAATAAAGATCGCAACTGTAAATAATATTTACTTTCGAAAACTAACCAGGACAATATATAAAGCTAATCCTCTACAGCTGTTACGGACAACAGCATTTGCCTTACGATATTAAGCCGGATGATATTCATGCCCAGTAATGAACAGATCGCTGTGTCATGTGAAGAAGGTAAATGTAGCCTTAACTTAAACGTGTCACTTAACAGCCGTGGATGTTTTCAACCCACACCTGTGCTTTTAGGGAAAGTCCTAGCTTGTATAGCACCCTCAGACACCTGCAGGATGAGAGTGGCTATAGTGGTACACAAAAACAGTAGGTAATGGTAAATGACAAAAGACCGACTCCGTGAACCGTCAGCCGGCCCCGAGCGGACCGAAATCAATGAAAAACTTTCTTGAATTCAGCAACACGTCTAAAAACTTCCCTGTTGAGTATATTATAATATAAACGACATCAAAATGGATATCGTTAAACCAAACCAAAAACTTCGCAATAAGACTAATGGAGAACGACTATATATAATTATACCACCACCTGCAGGACACCGTAACGAACGGAACGTAATATGCTGAAAATCACTCAATAGATTGTAAGTAGATAGGTGGTGTTTCCCAAACGCAGGATCCACAAACTGCGACCGTATAGAAGAGCACAAACCTAACTACATAATATTATTATATAAATAATATCATGTCATCTACACCAATACACACCCGACGACTTTTTAAATGCAAACAGACGTGAC